GACTCAGCATAGGGGTAAGCAATTCTCATGAATCTACCTCCTATACAAGATTATCTCCATTCTTACGAGAATGGAAAAACATCACTACTGATAAGTGGGTCCTTAGTATCATTCAACATGGATATAGGATAGAATTTTTCCATATCCCTCCACCAAATTCAATCAGGCCTACTCCCTTTTCCAAGCCACTGCATTTCGAAATCTCATCCCTGTTATCTAAAGAGGCCATAATCCAAATTCCCTCTGACAGTACCAATGGTTTTTTCTCACACTACTTTGCAGTCCCCAAGAACGATGGGGGCATAAGGCCCATCATGGACTTAAGAGACCTCAACCAGTACATACTTCACAAGAAATTCCGTATGTTCACCCTTGACTCCATTCTTCCCCTCTTGTCTCAGGGAAACTGGTTTGTCACCATCGATCTGCAGGACGTATATTTCCATATCTCCATCCACCCATCTCATCAAAAATTCCTCCAGTTCCAGTTCCACCACGATACCTTCCAATTCACTGCCTTACCGTTCAGGCTTTCAACGGCCCCCAGGACATTCACAAAATGCATGGCACCAGTCGTCGTGTACCTAGGAACCCAAAGGATAAAAATCTTTCCTTACATCGACGACTGGCTTCTGGTGGCCCGATCCTATCACGAAGCGCTCACGGCCACGAGATTCACTGTGTCCATTCTAAAGAACTTAGGACTAAAAAGTCAATGCAAAAAAATCCAGTCTCATGCCTTCTCAAGTAGTCTCCTACATAGGAGCAACCTTGGACTCTGTTCGCACAAAGGCTTTTCTTCCACCACAGCGAATTTGAAAGATCAAAGCAGCCGTGAGCAAGTTCATGCCGTGTACCCTTACAGCGCACTGCATCCAACATGTTCTAGGGCTCATGGCATCCACTACCGCGGTGGTACCGTACGCCAGACTCGAACCCAGACCCCTGCAGTCTTGATTCATCACTCAGTTTGATCCCATGACAGACCTGCAGTCCAAGAGGTTGAGAATCCCTCCTCTCGTAGCGTGGCGCCTCGCCTGGTGGTCCAGCTCCAACAACCTGTCACGGGGAAGGAAGACCGTTCCACTCTCCTCACCTGTCCATACAGGTTGTCACCGATGCCAGCCCCTCAGGTTGGGGCGCGCATTGCTAGCCGTCATGAAGGCTTTTCAATCCTCCCTTGCATCCAAGGCCATGCCGTGCAAATTGGTAATGGACAATACCACAATGATGCACTACATCAACAGGCAAGGTGAAATGCGATCACCGCATCTCCTCCAGCTGACCATCAAATTTTGGAAATGGCGTTGCTCCCATGACGTTTTCCCACAGGCGAGCCACATCGCTTCCAAGGACAATTCTCTGGCGGACCACCTGAGCAGGCTCTCTACCAAGATGCATGAGTGGGCATTGAACCACACGGTCTTTCACAATGTCTGCGCACGAGGAGATGGGAGACGCCTCCCTGGGAGACGCCTTCCTCATACCATGGTCAGGGGAACTAACGTACCTGTTTCCTCCAATACCGCTGCTTCTCAGGACTGTGACCAGGATAATGCAGTATGGTACAGATGCAGTCCTCATCGCCGAGGCAACCGTGGTTCGCTCACCTATCAGACATAGCACTAGAAGTTTACCACCTTCTTCAGATACCGTCCCTCATGTCGCAAAACAACGAGGCTCTCCTTCATCGCGATGTTCGGTCCCTTCGCCTGACAGCGTGGAGGATAACCCCCGCTTCCACGAGGTGCTAGACCATGCACAAAAGCCCTCTACCTCACGCTTATATGAAGGCAAATGGAAAACATTTACCAAGTTTGCCCAATCTAAAGGCATGACCACGGTACCAGCTTCTCTACGCTCAAACCTAATTTTTAAAATACAACGTATATTAACAGGACTGCCTTTTTACCGATACAAAGTACTGTACTGAAATTCACTTACAGAAAATACAAGGGTGCTTCTAATTATAGAAATAGTGATTTCAGGGTTCAGCTATGGTATTCCAAACCATTTTGAAATAAAATCGTTTCAGATGCGTGCCTTCTGCTGTTCGTTTTTTAAGAACAGGCAGGCTGTGCATAAAGCTGAGAAACCATATCATTAAACAATTAACCTGACTCTTAGTATTACCAACAGTGGTTCATTGTAACCAACATTATGTTTAAATATTACCTTTGTGATTGGTGAATTAAAAATAATAGATGTGCTGAGGAGAGAAAAACATAAAATTAGTTAGCTAGTTAATCTAGGGTTTTGGGGGGTCTCTCTCCCTCTCTGAATAAAAAGCATTTCATTTTGACTCTAAACTAGTGGCTCATTCCATCTGTTTAATTGTGCTGAATCGGTCAAAGCAAAAAACATGGTTAAAGCTGCGGAGTTATGTTTTTAAAAGAGGTGCATCTCCCTTGGTGGTGTATACGGCTGTTTCTATAGGAAGCCATGCGCATATCCTTTTGCCAAAGGATCCTCCATACTGATAGCAACCTCAGTCAGTTACATGTTTCTCAATGGCTGGCTTTTAGCTGTGACCCTGTAGAGAGCAAGAGAAAACAGATGTCTTACCCTGCTGCCAAATTGTTGGTTCCCCCTCCTGACTTGCGTGTTAGGAACAGAGAGTTTCTGTTAATTAGTTTCAGATGATGAGTAGAGATTTTACACATGTAGGACCTCCAGTTGCTTCCCCCCACCCGCCCCCCGTTCAAGTTGATGCTCATAGCTGCCGGTTCCCATTCTTAATAAAGAGCTTTATGCATGCATATTAGGTACTGGATTCCTCAGTTGCCGAAGGGAAAATAGCATCTGTACATACAGAAGAGAACTAGACTGTTTTGTTACACTTGAGGAAAAACAAATTGAATTCAGCAGATTCTGAAGGCTCTTTGTTACCTTTTCATTTTTTTTAACAGTGAAAACCCCACAACAGTAGCAAATGTCTTGTGTTACTAAACGCTTAAAAGTGCAACAGCGGCTGCAGCTTGTTTTACTAAACAGGACCTGCTACAGATAGCTGAAGTGAAACCTGTAAAAATCTGAATAATTTTGCAGCATGTATTTAGCTTGATTGTCATTCTTTCAGGAGAAACACACATATCTCATTCTGGGTTCAGTTGTACCTTTATTGGATTGCTAAGAAGTTACAAAGGAAACAGACTTTTGAGTTGTTGAAGGTTTAGGGGTATAGAAGGTTTAGGGGTATAGAGGAAGAAGCAGGAACTGTGCACCAGGTATAAATGGTGGAAGGTTTAGGGGTATAGAGGAAGAAGCAGAGGACTTTAAAACTTGGGCCAGGAGGTGCCCTTTGCAATTCATGTATCTTTACTAACTAGTTCAGAGCTCAGTCTTAGGAGAGCTTTGTGTCAGAACCTCAGAGTTACAGGTATACCGTTCTGATATCATACACAGAATTATGAAGCTGATCATTGTACAGTATAGGGTTGGATGCACAGCATTTGGTGGAGCTGTGGCAGCCAAATTCCCTTTCCCCCCTTCCTTCACCTATTCTCCTTTCTCCCAGATAATTCACTGGGAGTTGCAGGACCCAGGAGTGGGATGGTCTGTGGTATCTCAGGGAGCAGTTTATTAGATGTTTGAGCTCCTGAAGATAAGAGGGAGGTGGTTGGGGGAGGCAAAAGAACGAGGAGATCTATGAAAATATTTGAATAAAAATATCCTATTGCAAATTGCCAGATTCTCCTTCTCTCCATGGCTGCCCCACTTGTTTCGGAGACTGCCAGGGATGGCTTTTTATGTGAAACTGACAGTGATAAAGGCATAAAAGAAATGCCTTCTGTTTGTATACTGGAATCTTTGACTCAGATATAAGATTTAATCAGTACTGAGGTGCTGGGTGCTTGCTCAAAGCCACTACTAGGTAAAAATTATGAGCAAGACCACTTGCCTGACAACATCCTGCCTTAGACTTTCATGTGAATCAGCTTAACGGACTGACTGGTTATGTTTGGGAGAGTTTGCTTTTTGCACAGAAGGGAGGACTTGGCCACATAAATCAAAATAAGCAGCACACCCTTCCATCTTTGATTTCTGCTGGCACTGTGCAGCAAATGCTTTCTCTTTTATTAAGTTGTTTCCCTTTGAATTTAACTGTAGAGATAATAGTGTCAGAAATGACAACTCCTTCTAAGTCATCAGAAGAAGAAAGAGCTTCATGTTGTGATGCTATTAGCACTGAATAGATATAATCATACACTTTGACCACAGCTATTTCTCTAAGGGAGTTGCATTGATCTCGCAGTGAAGTTTGAGAGACTGCTGTTCGATTACTTCAGAATTAAAGTTTTATTGGTTGCAGCCTAGATTGTAGCTGGAACCACTTGATTCTGAAGAGTTTGGTACTAAAATCCCATGGATGCTGTTTTATTCTCATAATGACTGCCCTTCTTTCTGAAAACTAATGGGGAAAAATTGATTCCTTTCCAGCAACAAGAACAGGATCCAACTAACTTATATATTTCCAATTTGCCACTTTCAATGGATGAGCAAGAGCTTGAGAATATGCTGAAACCCTTTGGACAAGTCATCTCGACAAGAATACTTCGTGATTCTAATGGCACAAGTCGTGGAGTTGGTTTTGCAAGGTATGATGGTAGCTGCCTTTTACATAACTTTTACAAATGTCCTCCATAAATGGTATCTCCATGATGATAACAATTGCAGTTCAATTAAAGAAAAGATGTTTCACGATGGAAAGTATGCTCCATCTTGGTTTGCAAAGGGAACAGAAAACAAAGATAATATACTTGGTCATTTTGACCAGAATATGCTTGGTTTAGTTCATGTCAACATTTAGTGTTATTTTATTAAACAGATAAACTTTTATCACCTGTAGAAGGCACTGTCCTATCAGCATAAATTTTAATAGAGAAATGCTTCAACTTAAGAACACAGCATAAGGATCTGCTGTCACACAGCAGTCACATGCCTCACTCTGCAGTACCAATGCCTAAGCTGAATTCTTAACATGTGGCAGTTCTCCAGTGAAATTTACACCAGTGAAAATACACTGTTGTAGATATGCAATTATAGAGGATGAGATGTTTCCATTAAATGATTAGAGAGGGGCTCTCTTGCCTGCCTTCAGTATATTAGAGTGCAGTTCACATTTTATTGCTGCTTTCAGTTGAAAGGTAGGGCATTGCTTAGACATGGTCTATTATTTGGCAGTAATCAACTGCCATCAAACCATGTCATCAGTCTACTGACACCCACACCCTAATCTTGTGACCTTATTTTGTGTGCACTGTTCAAAGTCAAGTATTATAGTTGTTGAAGAGTTGTACAAACTGAAACTCATGAATAATTCTGGGGTTTTACTATACGTATATAAATATAGTACCATATTAATTCTGTAATATTGAGCTGGATTAGTAATCTTCTACACTGTAATCCAGATAAGAATAGGGAATGATAGTTGTGTGTTATTAACAATGAACTACCTTTCTTATTGGGTTGTAGGTCATGATGAGACTGTTTTGCGTTTGGATGTTCACTTAAATTATTTAATCTTCCATAGTATTTGCATCTTGACCATTTAGTGGAAACCACTTGTTAAACAAAATAAAAATGTAGATGTTAAGGGAAATGTGGGATCTGATCCTAAAGTATCTTTTGCCAAAGCAGTGGTGAGGACAACTTGTTTCTTCTCATGCACACACGCAAGTTGTGTACAAGCTTGTCGAAGGGCCAGGCTTTGATCATCCCCTGCATTGTAGAACGGGGACGGGGTGAGAAGTAGAAAAATAAGAGCATGATGCTTTCTCACACAGAGGTACTAAAAAGAGAGGATGAATTTAAAAATAAAAGCTGCTTTACACCAGAGTGAAACTGTTGGTTGGCCTAGCTCAGGATTGTTACACCAGGATGGGCAACCTCCAGAGGCCTGGGTATTGTCTTGGAACTTGAGAGACCTATATTCATTCCTGTGATCCCAACCCTCCCCCCCCCCCCCCAGATTTTCTTCTTGGGGTTAAAAGGGGGAGGGGAAGGGGGAATACTGACAAAGTCTCCTGGTGCCCTCTAGTGGCCAAAATGTTTTTTTTTTTTTAATTTTTGGGTGGGTGGTGTGCCAAGATAGGCTCAGGATGTGCCAGAATTGTCAAAAACATCCTGCTGCAGGCCCTGGGAATTGGGGAAACATAGTGGCCTACATTAACAGACAGAAATCTTAGTTTGGCACCATGTAAACAACAAAGCTTGAAAGTTAGGGGTTTTTTTGGACTAGCGCTCCCAAAATTTTCTAACTGGCATGGCCCATGACCATATGGGCTGGGGGATTCTCAGGGTTATAGCACAGAGGAGTAATGTTTCCAGGCTCTGGTGAAGGCGCTTTGGGTTTTTCTTTACTCCAGAGACTCTTTATTGATCAGAACATTGTGATCTGCTCAGTTTGCAAGCAAACTGGGATGGAGAGAATTTCAGTGTGTAAAGTGAGAAGGAACCGCCTATGCCTTGGCCTCTTTTACCTGATGCCAACCTCTCCAAACTGAATCAGAGGCTTCATTGTGATGTCTTAATTGCCCACCCCCCAAAAAAGAGTGCACATTAACGTATAGGTATCTCTCTTCACTTTTTTGTGCAGGATGGAATCAACAGAAAAATGTGAAGCAGTAATTGCTCATTTTAACGGAAAGTTCATTAAAACACCTCCAGGAGTTTCTGGTATGTTTCTTGTGTTGCCTGTTTTTTAAAAAATGTGATTCTGCAACTCAATTTAGGTTCTGTATTCCAACCCTGATAGAAGGTTGAAATATCTAGCGATCTGGGGATAGTGCCTCCTGTAGTTCAGGTTGTGGAGAATAGGACTTCAGGGGTGGGAAGGAGTAGGAAACCTTCCCCACATCCTTTCCCTGGCATGCCAAGAAAGCAGGACAGGACTGCTAGATTTGAGCCAGAGCTCACACATTACTCCTTGAAAATGTGAACAGTCCCAGACCTTTCAACCTCATAATTGATATGAGCAAATATAACTTGTGGATTGGACAGTTGCTGATATGGCTAGCAGGAGTTTGTGTGTCTGCCATGCATAGGTATGTACTCTTGGGGGATCTTAGCCTTTTTGGTACTTCACTGATAGCAGCTGATGCTTCTCCCATTCACTGTGTAAACATTATGGATGTTTCCCTGTCATAGGAGAAGATTGCACATCTGAGTGGTGCCCTTTAAATTTTTGTTCTGCAACTCAAACACACCCACTTGTGCGTGAAAACTTACGAGAGAGACTAAGCATGCTGTTACCTCCTGCAGCCAACTGTCCAGCTAGATGGACAGCTTTTATCCCATTCACTATAAATCAAGTGGGCCCAGATTAAGTCCTGAGTAACTGTTGTTCTGAACTCTTATTAATCATCCCAGTGCTTTCAAAGGAATGGGCTGCACAAGATGACCATTATAACAGCAGTAACTCATTCTGGAATAAGGTTGTGAAGAGAGAGGTGGGATGGGGAACAATGTTTCTTCATTTAATTAGATCCCTTTCCATGTGGGTTAATTTATCCAGTAACACTGAAGCTGAATTGTCATTTGGAAATACGATGCCCAAATACAGAACCCAGATGGGGCTGACATTTTTAAGAGGGCTTTTTCCCCCTGCCCAAATCTATTCATGTGCCACCAGCACCAAACCAACAAGCAAAACCCATGGAATGGAATATATGTGTTTCTCTAGGATGGATAGCTGTCAGGTAATTGATCTGGTTGCCTACTGTGGTCCTCTTAGAAACCAGCCTTTCACTATCAGCGTCTGCCAGGTAGAAGCAGCTTATTTCTGCACAGGATTAAATTAATACAAGCAGTGAGCCATAAGTGAAGTGTAGCGCAAGAAAGGCATTTACTATACAGGAAAGAAAGATGTTGCTTCCATTTTCTGGGAGCGGTATAATTGTATACCACAGAGAGGAGGAAACTAAAGAGCATGTATGGCAGGGTTTAAGTGAAGACGGAATTAAAGCAGAAGTGTTTTTAATACTTTCAATACTTTCTCTTTGCTTTTTTGTGATCTTCAGGATGGGGCTATAAGCTGCACACTCTTTGAGAGGTGGGGCACCATTGTAGATTTCCTCATAATTCTCTGAGTGCAAAAGAAAAAAGTGTTTCTGTTCTGTGCATTCCTGCCAGCCCCTGCTGTTCTGCTAACTGAACCTGTCTTTAGTCGTCATCCATTTCTAGTGTGTCTGGCTTTGATCAGCGTGATGGGCAGGCTTTGGTGGGGAAAGGAGAACAAATCTTTCCTGCGCCGTACATGCTGATGATGTTGTAAAGAAATGGCTAGTTCTTGAAAGACAGGGGCTTAACTATTATGATCATCCCCATACCTACTGTCTTTAGAAAACTAGTGGGGAACATGATTTGACTCAAATTGGGAGGTATTAAGGGTCAGGATTGTTAAGGGCTCCCTCCTAATTCAAGCAAATAGTACCACCCAGAGGGTGGCTGAAATTGATAGATATTGAAGTTACGTATATATAGCAGGCTTTGTTCTCAGTAGCTGTTAACAGCATTCAGCAGGACCAACTAAACTAAGAGCTAAGATAGGACTGATAAGTTGGGGAAGGACTGACCCCTGGAAAGAGGAATGCAATGATTTCATATTTAAATGATGTTTCAGTGTTCCACCCTTCCCTTGCCATTAGTTCCTATGGGGGCGGGAATCAAGTGCCACTGTGCCCACGGTGCTGGTGCATATTGCTCAGGCACTCTTGCTTCCAGCCCAGGGCTTGTTCTTGGCATCTTGCTCTGGCTTCTTGGGAAGGAACAAAGCAGAGAATGGAAGCTGCTGGCTGCCAGATGTGAGCAAAGTAAGCAAACTGCAGAGCAAAGTGAGAGCAGGAAAATGGGAGTAATCAGCCAGCATGTATCAACCTGCTGCTTGTTTGTGGTAAGCCAGAGTTTCTGTTGATCTCTAGCTTATGATCTCATAAGAACTAGGACAGCGAGGTTAACATTTGCAGTTGCAGATACTGGAGGGAGAGAGAACTCCACAGGCTCAGCTTGAGTGCTCAGCTGCAGAAAGCAAGTTTTTGGCATTCAGAGACATAGGTCTGTATTCAGGATGTCAGTGACAAAAGGTTGCTCATTAAGTTGTGGTAAGTGGCACAGTAACTGTAGAATGTAGGGAAAATGAGGGCATGGACTAGAGATCATTCTTTACATTCCTTCTCCTCTCCTGTATCAGAACATCTCATATTTAACTTCCAGCGCTTCCTGTGTTCTTTCAGCAGAACACATTTTTTTCACTTTTCCCTCCATGTTCCATGTCTTCTTGCTCACCCAAAGCTCTTTGTTTCAAGTTCTCACAGAGGATATCGCATTCCTTGCTTGCATCTCCATGCACGCTTGTTATGTCGCTGAAGCCTCTGGCTACAGAGGCCTATTTCTTTCCCTCGTAACTTGTTTCTTGGCTTTGTGAGAAAGGCAGGCTTTGCTTCACACCACATTTAGGAGACTTGAGTGCTTGGCCAACTGCATTTTCCATTAGCAAAGCTTTCCTGGCTGAAGGGCAGTAAATGTATGTGACACACACGCACAGAGAGATCTTCAGTAGTCAACCTGGTATGTCCCACCAGGGGCAACAGAAATTTGAGGAAGTCAGCAGGTTTGATTTGGATGGGGAAGAGACTTTTCAGGGCCCAGAAGCCAGAAGAAGGCAATGAAAAGGTAGGGAGAGGAAGAACATCTGTTTAAGCAAAGCATGCCGTCATTCTGCAGCTTTGCTGGAATAACAGCTTTTTGGAATCAGACACCGAGTGGCTAAATAGCTTTACAGGAAAAGGAGTTGGGCCTTCTGGATTGTTTGGAGTAGATCAGGAACAGGGTCTGCAGATAGTGCTAGGAAAACTAAACCAGCTGGGATTTTTAAAAAACAAAAAACACATACCATATTTTTTGCTCCATAAGACGCACCGGACATTAAGACGCACCTAATTTTTGAATGCCAAAATTTAAAATAAAATAAAAATAAATAAACAGAGCAAGTCCCACACTGGGACTGCAAAAAAAATCATCAAAAAACAAAGCAACATAGAAACATACCCCCAGCCCAAATCTACCCTCCAGAACCCACCCAGAACATTTTTTTAAGTAAAAAGCAACACCTAATTTTTAAATACCAAAAAATATAATAAAAATAAATAAACAGAGCAAGTACTGGGACTGCAAAAAAAATCATCAAAAAACAAAGCAACATAGAAACATACCCCCAGCCCAAATCTACCCTCCAAAACCCACCCAGAATATTTTTTAAAGTAAGAAAGCAACACCTAATTTTTAAATACCAAAAAATATAATAAAAATAAATAAACAGAGCAAGTCCCACACTGGGACTGCAAAAAAAATCATCAAAAAACAAAGCAACATAGAAACATCCCCCCAGCCCAAATCTACCCTCCAAGACCCACCCAGAACATTTTTTAAAAAAGTAAAAAGCAGCACCTTACCAGTCCAGAGCCTCCTGGAGGTCCTCAAAAGCCAGCAATCGTGGCGTGGGGGGCCCCCCACGGGGCCTTCGGAGGCCTCTGGAGGCCTCAGAAGCCAGCAATGATGGCTTGGGGGGGGCCCCGCGGGGCCTTCAGAGGCTCCGGCGGCCTCAGAAGCCAGTGATGGTGGCGTGGAGGGGACAGTATTCACTACATAAGACGCATACACATTTTCCCCCAATGTTTTTGGGAGAAAAAGTGCGTCTTATGGTGCAAAAAATACGGTATATTTAGCACAAGTATTTCTAAGGAACGTCTGTGGGGAAACATTGCCTTTGCATTAATCAGGTGAGGAGTCCTGCTCATGTAGATGCTACGTCACAAAGGAAGGGGAAACCTAATCAGAGTAGATAGTCCTCCCTCTTCAGACCCTCCCAGGGACATAAGAGACTTCTCCTTCCTTCCTAGTAACCTTGTTGTAAGCATACTGTAAAGTGAGAACCAGAATTACAGTGAACCATTTCAAAGTACCCAGCAAGTTCTGTCCTAAGGACATAAGGCCCATAACATATGTGACTATTTTTTAGTATGTTCATCATAGATAAATCTATTGAATTTAGTATTTTAAACCTTGTTTGACTACTACTCTTTTGACAAAATAAAAACCAAAAAGTAATGTTACATTCCTTTTCCTTCAAGCATAGATTGATTCTTTTTCCTTTTGGCCCATCATAACTGTCATGAGGTTTCCGTTGTCCTGCTTCATCCTTAATGCAGATTCCTATCTTGTCTGTTTTAGAAATTATGTGTGCTTTTATTCCAAAATGGGACGAATACCCAACCCAAGTTTAATTGGGCAATGTGTCCCTATTAAACTGGCTAGGAAAATTGTCTGTTTCCAGATTTGTGCACCTCTCCAAGCAGAGACTGGCAACTTCTAGAATGCATTTGGAATTGTGAAAAGATTAGAATTCTTAAATTAGTTTTTCCTGAGTCCTGTCTTGATCTTGTTACTGGGCATCTGGACCCAATAAAAGATTTAGTTGTGGGCCCCTCTCCCACATTCTCACTAGAGAGAGAAAGCAATTTCAGATTTAGGCTGTGACAAATTTCTCTGTGCGTGATGTCTGAGGATGCTATGACCAAAAGTTTTATTGCTGATGTTGTCATGGAACATGCTGGGGGAGAAGATGGGGTCAAATAATTACAGTATATCACAAACTGACTCAGGTAACGCTTTCTTCTTGC